ACCACTCTCGCAGCAGCCGTCGCTCGCGCGGTGCCGAGGGCGAGAAGCTCATGCACGGCCCCTACCAGCCCATCGGCGAGCCTGCTGGCTACCAGAGCCGTGGCTTCTACCAGCCCCAGCCCCAGCACAATGCGCCGCGTCACGACCTTGCGTACGAGCCCTACTCGCATGCCAACGTTTAAGCACCTAAACCTATGGCGGGCTTTGCGTGCACTCTGAATTTTTTTAGTCGATCTCAACTATAGATTGTCTTAATCTGGCGGGTGTGCTATCTTTATGGTTTTTCTTGTATTACAATCTTGCATTAATCGGCGTCGGTGATTTTGGGAAGCGCGGGAAGATGTTTCAAAACACTTGTGAAATGGGGGGAGGCGGGAATGATCTAGGATGATACCCGACAAAGGGGTCGTGATGATATAGAACCAACATTATACGTTCACATATTGAAATGAATAGTTAAACTTTTTTGGGTTAAAAGAACGTGGTTTACTCCAGTACGGGCGCATAATTAGTGACATGAATTGCCCTCCTTGCGAGAGGACAAAATGATCAAATAGCAGGAATAGACGTGCAGGTTGGCGAACCTTCTGACAATGCTGTATGTACTAGGGTAACATCCCGCATTACTACTACCCACCATCGAGGAAACAGATCAAACACCTTGAATCCTCAAGGGCTGCACAGTTTCATGCAGCTATACAATGGAAGCTCCCTCCTTTGTGTTATACAGGAGTGTTGTATGTGAAAGAAAAGGGTTAGGGTTGAGGAACATACAGAATTGTGGATTGCGGATTTTAGGAGTCACAAATTTCCCATGTTGGAATATACACCAACACGGGAAAAAAAAGGGACGACTTGATACATACACCATTGCTCCCCATTACATTATTAACTTTTCTTTCATGATCACATTTTTTCTGTTTCTTTGTTCCAATACAATAGGGGGTGGGGGTAATCCCCTTCTCATGGGAAGTAATTAAAAACATCATGGATCGGGAGCTGGTGGTACCCTTTTACGGAAATTGCCCCTCACCAACTTCACACCAGCCCAAGGATGCCATGATGAACAACCGACGACTGCGGCATGAATACGTGCTGAGTCCCATCACCGGGCTGGCATTTTACGATGCTGCTCCTGCTGGACCTTGGGGGGGGTTACTACTGGTGCTCGTGGCTGAGGATACCTGGCTCAAGGTTTACCACCATACAACAAAGGAAAATAAGTTGTTGGGGCAGTTGAGGGTGTTTGAGGCGCAGCCTATTCACGGGCTATACGTCTCTCAACCAGCGCCAACCACCGATTGGCGGGAGAGTCGGGTTCTGGTATGGGGCGGGCAGTCCGTGGCCATCGTACACCAGGCAACTCTTCAGAATATCATCGACGGTGTGGGGAAGAATCCAAAGCAGCAGCCGAAAGAGTTTAGGGCGGCGGACTGGATATACGACGGACTTCTCTTGCCCGGAAGAGATAATAACGGTGTGGATGGTGTGTTGGTTACGGCGCATAACGAAATCGTCCCCCTCACCACAGACGGGGAAGAGATTGCTTTTGGCTCGCTGGCGTCTCCATCGAGACCGATCTTATACTCGGCGAATTTATGTTGGTTGTCTCCGGGTTGTGTGCTCGTTGCGGGGGGGACGGTGTTTGGGGAGATTATCGTCTGGAAATACCACTACCCCTCTTGCGAGAGCGCGCGGTGTGAGGTGCTGCATGTGTTTACCGGTCATGAGGGATCTATTTTCGGGGTGTCCATCTCCCCTGAGCTCGACCTCGCCCCGGATGTGACCGGGGTGCGGTTACTGGCTAGCTGCAGTGATGACAGGACGATACGCATCTGGGATATTACCGAGCGGACACAACCTACGCATACGAAGGGGGATGAGTTGAGGAGGTTGAAGTTGACCGAGGCTAGGGAGACTGGGTTTGGTGAGTCCAACAACTCGGAGGTTGGGTTGGTGGAAGGTGAAAAAGGGGAGGAGGGGTCAAGATGTGTAGCGACTGCTATGGGACACGTGTCGAGGATTTGGCATGTCAAATTCACCGGCCGCGCTAAACACTACGGAGAAAAGGGGCAGAGGCCGGTGGAGGTATGGTCGTTTGGGGAGGATGGGACGAAGCAAAAGTGGGAGCTCGACCTGGATCTATATCTATGGCGGACAGGAGATGGGGCGAATGGAACAACGGTTGGGTCGCTAAGGAATTGTGGGATTACGTCTTGCCATGTTGGCAAGAATATCTGGTCTGCTGCAGTCTATGCGCAGGAGGAGGGCCGGGGGCCGGTGGTAGTTAGTGGTGGGGCTGATGGGAAGGTTACCATCTCTGGCGACTACGAACAGAACAGCCGGGAGTTAGACGGGGACAGCCAAGATCATGAGCGATATTACTACAACGATATCGATATAAGCCTTTCTCTTGGCGACGTTCGGCAGTCCCTTCCTGGCGCAGAAGCTCAGCTGAAGACGAACGGAAAAGATGGGTTCCATCGCTGTGCCTTTTTGTCCGAACAGACATTCGTGGCTACGACACACTCCGGCCAAGTCTACTTAGGTTCTCTCGGCAACACTCCTATCACATGGGAAGAGGTATCTCTTCCTCAAGTCGAAGGGCAGGCCGGTGAACCATTTAATGTGGTCAAGAGTCCGGCGGGCGGCGTCGCGCTCCTAGCTAGACCGAATGGATTTATGTGCTTGGTTCAGGAAAATGGCCGGCATGTCAGGAAAGTGGAATGTCCTCGTGACAAGATCTCCGACATTATCTGTCTTCCTCAACCCCTGAATCCTGGCAGCGACAATAGCGCATTCAGTATCCTCATTACATCACTGGGGTCTGATTTCGCAACATGCATGACGCTTGCCGTCAAGGCTGGCGATCTGGACGGTCTTGGACTCACCGTATGGCTTCAACCGGGATTCATAGTCACCGCCGCCAGCTTCTGCGGCGACAAGCTCATTCTGGGCTCGAGAGTCGGGGCCGTGGCTGTTTGCAGGCCTGCTTGTAACAATACAACGACCACTGAAGAATTCACTTGTGAATATTCACGTAGAGATTGCAGGACAAAAGATGCCGTCACCTGCATCCTGCCACTGCCTGGAAGCGCTGGCTCTTCCTTCTTGACATGCTGCAGGGATGGCAAGTACCGCATCTACACACTAGATACCACGGATGCCGAGGCACTACTGCATTTGCAGCACGAGATCTCGCCGCCACTGGGTATGCTCGAGGGCGCCCTCTTCACAACAGGGAAAGAAAGCGACCTGATATTGCACGGCTTCCGGGGCAAGAACTTTGTCGTCTGGAACGAGAGTGCTCGACAAGAACTTGCCACGATTGAATGCGGCGGCGGGCACCGGCCATTCGGCGCCATCATGTCCCCGGTCAAAGGTGCTGGTCAGCTCAAGGCAGTCTTCACAAAGGCCAGCAACCTAAGACTCTACTCGCAAAGCGGACCTGCCCTGCGCACGCTAAAAGACGGCGGTCACGGGCGGGAGATCCGCGCCGTAGCCGCGTGCGAAGAGTATGGATATGTGGCGACTGCAGCTGAGGACACCACTATCCGGATATGGAAGTACGACACCAATGGCAGTCTGGGAAGTGGCTTCAAGTGTCTCGCCGTCCTAGAGAAACACTCAGCAGGAATCCAGTGCCTGGAGTGGTATTCGGAAGGAGAAGACAAGCTCTACCTGGTGAGCAGTGCGGGCAACGAAGAGCTGTTCATCTGGCGCATCACCCGTTTGAGGTCCGACTACGAAGGCGCCCTGGCTGTGGTCTGCGAGACTGTCTACACCGATTACTCCCCCGACCGAGACCTGCGCATCACTAGCTTCCATCTCAACCCGTGGACTCAATATCATCGTGAGGATTTCGGCCCGGGGATGCTTATCTCGCTCACGCTGTCGAATTCCACACTGGCTTCGTACTGTTACTCGAAAGAGCACGGGTTTAGGCTCCTGTCGAGAGGACGGTACACAGGCGCCTGTCCGACGCACATCCGCGTCTTGAATCACATACAAGGCTACGCAATGACGCCGTCGCAGCAATCGGAATTGACCGTGCTCACGGCGTTTACGGACGGCCACGTGGGGATCTGGCAGACGAAACGAGATCGCGACGCAGAGAATTTCACCGACTACGAACTCGCATCGGTCGCCAAGCTGCACCAGAGCAGCATCAAGAGCTTGGATGTGGCCTACACAGGTTCACACCACTGGCTGGTCGTCACGGGCGGCGATGATAACGCGCTGGGCTTCCTGACTGTCGGGTGGGATATAAATAGGATTGTGCAAGAAAAAGTAGTTGCTGTATCCATCTGGGACAGATCCCGCGTCAAGGACGCACACGCTGCCGGAATCACTGGTGTCTGCATCCTGGAAGGCAGAAAGAGGTTGATTGGAGGCAAGGCTCCCTCGGGCCGGGCCACAGGAGGAAGTTTGACTCTGGATGTGGCGACGGTTAGCAACGATCAGCGCATCAAGCTCTGGAGAGCAGAGCAGCGGTTGAATCCGAAGCCTGGCGATAGCCCTACCGGGGGGACAAAGGTTGCGCTGCTGTCTAACGAATACAGTGCCATCGCCGATGCGGGGGATTTGACGCTTCTCTCACGGGATTCAAGTAAGCTGCTGGTTGGGGGAGTTGGCATGGAGGTTTGGGATGCTGGTTAGTGGAAGTAGTTTAACCTGCTGACAAAAGATGTTTGACACATGATATACCCACCTTGAATACTTGGTGACTTGAGTGCAAAATATGGCGACACTTGAATGCTAACTTGACTGACTGGAGAGAAAAGGTTCCCGTAGCAAATCACCCATTGAGCATTCTCCTACATAATGCCCCTCGGTATGCTAAGAATATACCAGGGGCTCCGCAACATACTCGTGTGGAATAAAAAGAAGTTATGGCGAGGCATTAACACCATGGAAACATTCGTCCTTCCCGAAACATGACAGCGAAAGGAATGGAAAAGAAGAGAAAAAAAAGAAAGTGAAGAGAAGGTAAATAGTGATATCCGAGACGGGATTCGAACCCGCGACCCTCTGCGATACTGACGCTGAAACGGTTGTAAAGCAGATGCCTTAACCACTGGGCCACTCAGACTTGATGAATTTATATTCTGACATGGCGCCCGTACCCCTCATATACGAAACTCCTTCGGGCCACGCCCCCACTGAAACTCTGCAACCCAATGATATGATTCGCTGCGCAGCTCTACACCAAAGCGCTGCCCGGTCCTCAGAAGCTCAGGTCAATTGAAGCTTCACAGAGCTCCCGCCCGTTCACAACCCACCACAGCAGTCGCAACCAGCAAGAATGAAGAGCTTACGAGGAGCCAATGCGCTGTTGCGCAGCACCAATGCACTTACACGGTAGACCCTCACCAACCCACCAATGCCACTCCTTTTGTTGTTGTAGCTAAGCTAACATGCGAGCAGCAGCAGCAGTATATCAGCTGCAAACAGCACGCGACTCCAAACGCTCCCTCCCAGAAACCAATTGGTTTGCGCCAGGCCGTTCTCCCAGTCTCCCCAACTTGCGAAAAAGAAACAACAACAAAAGGAGGAAGAGCCCAGCCACGGCAAGAAATCCAAGGGTTCCTCCTCTCCCGCTCCCGCTCCCTCAACCAAAGCCTCCTCCTCCTCCTCCGCCTCCTCATCCAAACCCTCCTCCGGGTCATCCTCCCCTGACGGCCGCCCCCAAGCAGACCCCGAAGACCCATTCAACCTCTCCGACCTGTCCTTCGCATTCGACAAGGCCGAGAAGCACTACACAGAAGAGCTCAAGTCTCTCCGGTCCGCCGGCAAGTTAGTCGGCGAAGCCATTTCCTCCCTACCAGTTGCGCTCAAGTCTGGTTCTTCCTCCACCACCGAGACCTTCCCACTGCGCGATGTGGCAACGGTCACACCGGTCGGCGGTGCAGGCGGTGTCGTCAGAAAATGGAGCATCGTCGCGTATGAACAGGCGTCCGTCAAGGGCATCATGTCTGCTGTCCAGCGCAGCGAGCAGTTCAACCAGCAGCCGCAGAAGAACGAGGAGAACCCCCTCGAACTCACATTGACCGTCGAGCCGGAGCGGGCAGACGCGCTGACGAAACGGGCAAAAGAGGCGTGTCAGGCGTGGCGGACCAAAATCCGCGATGAATCACACAAACGGGAGACACTCCATAAGAAGTGGAAGACGGACGGCCATTTACTTCCCGACGACGTCAAGAAACTGAAGGAAAAGGTGCAGAAGCTGCAGGATGACAAGATGAAGGTCGTGCAGCAAAAGGAGAAGGAGGTGCTGCAGGCTATCATGTCTAAGGCTGGATAAAAACGCATGTTAAAAGTGTGTACATGTACATTTTTTTCTATACAAATCTAATATTACAAGCCCCACCACCCGACAATCCTTCATGTGTTTGTTAAGCCCTCTTCGGCGCAGGCTGCTGCTGCTGCTTCTTCTTCGGCGCCGCCTCCGCCAAAAGACTCCTAATCTTGTCATCAAACTTCTTCGCATCTGAGCTCTTGTAGCTAAAGTCCCGGGCGTGATAGGACGCAAGCATGCCCATGGTGTCCTTGACGTCGGCCACAAACTTGGGCGTCTCGCCATACACGCCCAGGATGCTCTTCTCCACGATCATGCTCTTCGTGCTCTCCGTGGGGGGGTAGATCTTGAACCCCTGCTTGCTGCTCTCCAACCACTCCTTCTCCTCCACCGAGTTCATAAACAAGGGCTTCTTCTCGTGGTAGTACCGGATCACCGAGTCCTTCGTGTTGACAGTCACGCCTTCGTTGTCAAACGGCCGACCGCCACCCAAGATCCTCATGGTCCTCAGGGCGGTCTCCACCTTTGAGATCTTGGTCTCCGTAGCCAACGCGGGTCCGTACCCAGCGAGACTCTCCAACGTGACTTCCGGGGTATACTCCGTGACGACACCCTGCTCGACCTTGTTGATGAATGCCTGCTCGTCGGCGGACCAGGTGAGCTTCCCCTGGTTCTGCTCGTTAACCTCGCCTTCGGGCTTCTTCTTTCGCGGTCGTCTGGCTGCTGCTGCTCCCCCAGGTCTGCGTCCACCCCGTTGAAGTCCTCCCGGGCCAAACCTAGATCCCGGAGGACCGCCGGCGGCACCTGGCCCCCGTTGAAATTGAAATCTCCCCGGAACACGAAGCATCCCTGTTCCTGTTCCACCAGCACCAGCACCAGCAGGTCCTCCTCCTCTACCCGGAGAAGAAGAAGAAGAAGAAGGGAAGCGGCTCGCCCGATCACCGGTGAACGCACCACCACCACCACCACCAGGCCGTCCACGAAGACTGCGCAGGTTGAGCACGTTTCCGGCGGGCGTAGTAATCACCCTTGGTGCCGCACCCGCACCCGCACCTGCCCCAAAAGGGCCAGCACGGGCATGACCAGCCACCCCTAAGGAACGGGCGTCGACGGCTCCCTGTGCGGTAGGCGGCGCTGACCTCGTCGTCCGCTCTCCTCTTGCCAATTGGCCCAGTTTAGACACTGCCCCTTCGGATCGTTGGGCGCGCGAGCTGCTGCTCGTTGTGGGTGGTGATGGTGGCGGTGGAACGTTGTCGGCTCCTCCTCGGACTACAGACGTGGTTGAGAACGGGCGGGATGATGATGATGATCGAAGGATGATGATGCACTGGCTGCTGTCAATGGCGGCGGCGGCGGCGGCAGCGCTCCGCCCGAGGGCAGAGTGCACCACTTGTCGGTTCATCGTTTTTGTTGTGTGGAGTTTTAGTCACGAATGAACCCGTGATAGCAACTCGACGGAGTTCAGACAGGCACGTTGGAATGGGAAGCTCGCAAAGTAAAAATCACGACCCGCTAACTTCCGCTCCGCGAATATGGGTCTCGGTGTCTGATTGGCCATTGGTGTGCCATACGGTGGGTCTACCCATTTAAAAGAGGATCTCACTTGTAACTGCCACCCCGGCCGGAGCCTCAACGTCTGTTGATGCCAGTTTCACTGGATACCTTGTACAATTTTTCTTGTTTTGCACTATTATTGGGGCGAAAATTTTGGTAGATACCTCATGGTGATATCATCCAGTAATTTAGTTCTGGTCAGATCCTTTGCAGTTCCATGAGGAGTTCCCTTGTCGGAGGGGGGGTCCTGTTTTGTCACCAACAGGCCTGTCTCGTCTAAAAAACATGGCTAAATTATCCCAGGTTTGATTCGTTTTAATATGATCCTTCTGCAGGACTCATACGTGGCCGAAGGGCGGCTTTGTGCGAGGTTATGATGCTACTCAAGAGCAGAAGCGCGAAGCAGTGTTCGTGTGTCTATGTTCACCACCGATCGCCATGATTATGGTCCACTCCCTCGAATCGATGGCTTGCATAGATCGCGCACTCGGGAGCGAATCTCGCATCTTCGAAGCGATGATATTGGACGGCTCAGCCGGCGGATCCTGCCAACTCATGCCTACCGTTAATCAACGCACCACAGATCGGCCTTCAGCCGGACCCGAGCGTCTCACGGAGTTGCCTTCAAGCGCCGATGACCAATACTCTGTTAGAAGCCCGCAGGACAGCACGTGGTCGAATGACGCATAGATGAATATAACCTATCTTGACCCGGAAGGATCTCCCACATGCCGATTCTCGGAGAAAGCTGTAATATCGATCACTCTGGCACGGTATTAGAGTTGCCAAATATGCCCGCTGCTAGCGCCAGTCCGCGCATGTGTCAAGTTCGCCGCTCCCGGGAGGCTGAATACCTTATTCCATGTGGACTTATATCAAGCCGCCATGAGCTATTCTTTTCTCTCGTCCGACATTAACCTCTATTATTACCCCGGCCACGTTATCAGAAGCACAAGAGACCGTTTCGCGAACTGATCAACACTTGCCTGAGCCGCTTCAAGAATTGCACGCGCGTTCTTGAGTTCGTTACAATGCAGATGACTCGTTCTGGTCGTTATCAAGGATGGAGTGGCCGGCTCCGTGTGCTGTGACGCAGGAGTCGGCCCCTTTTTCTGGGCCCGGCCTGATGCAAAGCCTATCATTCACGGTGTCTGATGATGTTTATCGAACCATGCGGGGAGCAACAATATCACGACGACCTCCTTGCGTTTGTCTCGGGTGCGATTGTTTACCGGCATATTCGACAATATGAGCTGCAAGTGAGCTGCGGCCGTCGCCTGAGTCAGCATGGCTCAGGTCTAGTCGACTGAAGATGAACCTTACCCTTCATTTAGCATGCTTTGTGCCTCAACATCTGACCGGGGTGGGAAGGGATGACCACTTCAAATACCATCGTGCAGGTGGCACATGTTCCTGCAGCAGCAACATCCCCGAGAGCCTAAATGCCGCCGCTTGCAAGATTATGCTGAAGAAGCCCTACACGGGGGTCATACGGCGCATGAGGTCCTTCCGTGGGGCTGCAAACAAATTGTGTCAGCTCATCGAGCAGAACACAAACCGCTTACAACAAGGGAGAGCAATGTTCATGAGCCTGGCGTCTCGGCGCGGCTTCCCGCCCATGCACTGTCGATCTCCCAAAATTGTCAGCCGAAGCCATGAACCAGACGTCGGTTGCAACAATAAACGAAGCTGAGGATGAATCGACAACGATATTGCGAGCCAGAGGCTCCTCGACAGAGTAGTTCGCCGAGGTTGAGAGACACCAAGTTCCTGGCTCTCAATATTCCACCAGCTAAGCGAATATGCCCGCTGGCCCGCATACCACGCTGATGCCCCGTGGATGGCGACTCGGAGTGGTTCCCCGTCCAGGCTGTCTGTGGGCATCTGGCAGCGCAGGCGATGAAGTCTGGCTAGCCAACGCCCTGTGAGGAGGGGACATTGACCCACGCCGCTAAACACGCGCCTCATCAGATCTCGGATCGAGCTTTGTGGCACGGTAACACGCGTCAGGCGCACCCCTGAAGACAATAGATTGACCGGAGTAACCGTCTGCGGATAAGCATTCCGAGCCTGTGCTTGGCGCGGAGCACGCCAGTCATCCAGAGTCCCGCTCCCCAAGAACGCCCACATGAGACCGTGGTAACTGGAACCTCGGGCGAGAACACGAACTGAAACTCCCGGACCAGCATCCGCCTGCACTGATCGGTTCCCATGTTCATACCAATATCGGCGAAGCAACC